GTGTATGTATACGTATATATATATATATATATATATATACTTACAGGTGTACACGCAAAAAGCATATTTGTACGTAAGCCGATAACGGTAGTGAAGGAGGTAAGAAAAGTTGATCACGATATCGCGCAATCGAAGCTCCCATTTTGCGTGTAAGGTGTGAAACCGCCGCGCTTTACATTCAAGGTAGTGCGCGATACAGCGTCATGACAAAAACAAAAAAGAACACTACCCTATATGTACCTACACAGATTGCAATTATCATTTACCTATTTATATACCTAATATTTTAGCGACCTAGTCGACTGTCTCTTATTGATAAATGGCTACTCTTTATAGCCTATAAGTATTATGCCATATAGCCAACAGCAGAAGAGGATAGAGTATGCATCGAGACAAAAAAAAACTAAAAAGTGTAAAAATGAAGCATATATATCTAATAAAAAAAATACGTGTAGGCAGATGTACTAAAAAATGTTATTATCATTATTATATTGTTAAAATTACCTGAGACTGTTGTGTCCCAGAGGAAATTTGATGTAGATTGCCTCTTGAAGAGCGGACTCTACTGTGGCTTTTCACTGTATCCGTATCTGTATCTGACACAACGATGAAACAAAGATAGGCTCAGTCAAGCGACGAGTTTGTCGAATCGCTCACTTCTTTTTTAAAAATACTTTGGTTTATTATTTTATTGGCACTGTTCAAAGGCACAAGTGACGTTACGTACAAAGACGTATAGATAAGTATTTATGAACGACTGTAGGTACGAGGGATAATATAAAGTCTCGTTCGATTTGCCTGCAACGCGAGGATATTATATAAAATAAGTAAGTATAGGTACTGGGAAGTGCTCGGTTGCACTTGTCGAGCTTCGAGCTCGTCAGCGGCGACGCTGTAGGCACCGCATACTTGTGTTAGGTATAGGTATAGTTATTTAAATTGCCACTGGTCCTCTGGACATCGGTTATTGTATTTAGTAACGCAAGTTATGCAAGAAAAGCCAAAATTTGGCTGAATCACATGTACACACATATATATATTATGGTTACAGGCGCACTTTGATACTTGTGTAGAGTTTATTTTCGCCGGCACTGTTTAGTTGTTGACGACGCGAAGCGTACTTAACTTAAATACTTATATACGTAAGTACTTGATGTGAAATTGTAAAGAGGAGCGAGAATACAAACATGCGCCGGAGAGCTCTCTCTTTTACTTGGTGGCTCTCGGCACTGAACCAAATCACCGTATTACAAACTGCAGGTGTGAGGTAAGTCTATATATGCACACACACACACACACACACACAGATTTAGAGACGATGAAAGAAAACGATGTACCTATAGAGGTTGTACACGAACTCACTGTTACAAATGTACAGGTACAAATCGAACTGTAGGCACACTGTAATAGGCACGTAACGAGCAAAATATGCAGTCGAATCTCAAGAGTACGAGTAAAGTACGACACTATATTATAAAAGTTAACGTGTATATGTATATATGTACATAATTATAACGAGAAACTCTCGCCTTTTGCTTTCCCTCCCGGCTGGTAACAGCATACTACTAGCTTGGCTTGTCTGCGCGTCTGGTTGTGGTACTTATATCTCTGGTGATGCGATCTTCTCTCCTCTTTCACTTCGTAGTAGTTCGTCATCACGTACGCGTCGCGCGCGCGCTGCGCTGCCTGATATTCTCTTTCTCTCTCTTTGCCTCTGACTTCTCTCGCTCGCTCATTCCTCGTACTCTTTATGAATGAAATTCTTAGGCATAGGCACCTATATATGGCTATTTTCATTGTTCATATCGCGCGATCGCGAGCCCCCTTTTCCTTTTGCAACCAGAGCAGATAGATAGGAGAATCACATTGCAATATATTGCATCTTGATGCATTCCCCAAAAGTGAACGAGATTCGTGCAGCAGTCTATATATTTGTGTAAGTATAGGAGAGGTTAGCCCACAAAAATTTTTTTTAATGTTAAAGTTTGGAAGTTGGAACTCGGACGATACACAATACAATATAATGCACAGTTATTTTTTTTTGCAATTTTACTACTCGGATATTGAAAATAATGCGACATCTGAAATATCCGAAATCCGAACGCCAAATGTCGCATTGTATTTCCAATGATCCAAAAAATTATCTCTGAAATAAAAAAATTATAAAAATTACAATTAGTGCACTAGTCTAAATAATATAACATCTAATTGATCTAATGGGAAGTATTTGCTTTTTCTCAACCATGTACCATATTTACACTCTAATTTTACCTGCTCTAACAACTGAAAAATCACGTTTCAAACAGTGAAAAGTTGTACATATAAATATAACAATGTTTTTTCTCAACAATTCGTTATCAAGTAACTCTAAAACGTTGACACCCTGTAAAAAAAAGATGCTCTGATACAAAAATATACACACTTGCATTACGTACTTGTTACATATATATATATATATATATATATATATATATATATATNGCTGCGCTCCTCGGTCCTCGTCTCCTTGACCTTTTTGTAGGTATATATATATATATAAAAATAGGTAAACTATAGTTGTACACATCCTAATTTTATCAAGATCAAAAATTTGAAATAAAGAAATATCAACGACGGAATCTATAATAGTATTGCAAAAATGTTATTGAAAAGCTTTATTAGTGAAAGTGCCTCATAAAATTTAGTTTAATTGAATTATGGTTATAAGTTTGAAATCTTTGTATTCTTGGTTCTTTAGCAAAGATCGAAACTTGCCGCGCGGCTGTGGTCCATATTTCCTCATAGTGCCTTCATTACTGTTCCAAAATAATGGAGCTCAGAACGGACCGGTCGAATAGTCTCAAATTTTGCAACTTTTTATATTTTAGTGTATATTGCACAAAGTGAAAATTATTGAGAATTTCGAGATGAAACCTTTTGCTTATAAGTAGCACCAAAAGCCTATACTTACGTAAGAGTCAACATTCTCTAAGTGAAATGTAAAATATATAGGCTTTTACACAAGAAGAAGACTGTTCGGAGCAATTGGAATTCAATACTGTACCAAGTACCGACACTGTGTAACGTACTTACCCATTATAGATATTACGACATTAGTTTTGTCGCTATACTCAAGTCACATTCAGGGATTCAGCATCTTTTTATCTATTCGTGGATCAAGTGAAACGTAAAATAATTTATCAACATAATTATTCGAAAGTATTGGTGTCAAGTGTGTTCTAAAAACTAACTTTACTAAAACTGAAAAATAATAAAATTACTTGCACTTGTTAGTTAGTAATTGTTTGTAGATGAAAACAATTTAACCTCTTAAAGAATTGTCTCTATTTGAAATTCTTCCTATTTAAATGCAGTTATGTAACGATTTACATTTGTTAACAAATTCATGATTTGTAGGACATAGAACGACAAAAATGCTTTCGCAACGAATTGTGGTATCAGCTCCGAGACTAATTCGACGAAATTTCGGAATTGCTGCTCCAATGATGCAGGCAGCCGCTGTTGACCCTATTCAGCAGTTATTTGTCGACAAAATTCGAGAATACAAATCCCAGTCTTCGTAAGTCTTTTTCGATACATGCGGATACCTTTTTTCTTGTTGTTTAATTTTTTAATTGGTCTTTTTATCATCGCTGCTACATTATAACTGCTTGACAACAGACACATAAGCAGCACGTACCTTGTTATTATTAGCGATTAATCCTAAATACACTAGTGAATCAAATTGTTATTTACATCAAGCTTGACATGCTATCTGTAACATAACGTATTGTACATAATTTAATTTAATCTATGGCAATGACAATGCAGTGTTTTTTCATGTTTTACAAAGGGGTGGCAAACTGACCCTTCCTCCTGAAATTCAAGCAGAAAAAAAGAGAGAACTAGAAAAACTAGCCAAACAGTATGGCGGTGACGAAGGAGCAGATATGACAGCTTTTCCTAAATTTTCTTTCCCAGGTAACAATTTTAATGGTTATCTTCTTCTATGTACTTAACAAATATTATAACGTTACCTGTAACATTTTTTTCTTCTTTTTTTTTTTTTTTTTTTTTTTTTCTTTAGATCCAAAAATCGAAGTTAATCCACTGGAATCGACATCCAAATGAAATTGTTAATGTGTAATTATAAAAAGAGGTATAGAATAAAAATTTAATTCTAAGGTTAAATTCAAAAGTGCCTTTTATGTGTTCTTTATACCAATCACTTTATTTGTGTGAAAATATATTCACGTATACCCTACTTTTTATTTGCTATTTTGCTTACAAAACTGATATCATCACTCATCTTATTAGTTTACATTTGTCAGCATAAATTCGATATTTTCAGCTAAAATGGGCATCATACACTTTGCAGATATCGATCTAAAAATCTTTAACGTTCTCACAAGATTATCTTTTGGTAATAACGTTTTAAAGAATCCTGAACAAGAGCATCTCGGAACTATATTGTCTTGTTTAACTTCTAAGCACTTTAAACACTGTACGTCCTGTATGACGAAAGCCATGCTTTTACGATTCAATATGTCATTGAGCGAAAATTCTATTTGATCATTATCATAAGTTGACCCACAATGTGGACATTTCCAAACATGTCTGAAAATGGTACATGAAATATGTTTTAAACACGGGATTAAAATACAACAAAAAAAATTACTTTCATGTCACTTACTTGTTGTCTTCAACATCCTGATAACTGTCTTTGCAGAGATCTATATCTCTGACATGGTTACAGTTCTCGCACAATACTTCGGGTAAGATGAACGATGTGCAAGGATCTTTCCACTCGGCTTTATCACTAAAGGCTCCAACGTCTATCAATCTCAATAAATTTCTAAACATGTTGGCAACTTCTTCCTCTATTTGAGTGTCCAAGGATAAAATCTATAAAAATTTGACCTTGTTGCAGCTCAAAACAAAATTTTATAACTACATTAAAAATTAAACTTACCTTGCATATGGCTTTGGCTAGCTCAAGAGCAGGATTAATAATCATTCTGGTAGAATTAGGCTCGTAATTAAGATGCGGATATTGTTCCATTGTAAGAACTTTTTCAGGAATTTTTTTGTATATTGACTGCACGTAGCTGCAAAAAATATTATCCAATCATCGGCGTTATTACGAGTAATGTATTTTTTTTTTTTTTTTTTTTTTACAATAAAAGCCTTACTGAAATAATTTTTGTGACATTTCACCAGAAATAAGTTGTTTTGCTAAAGATTTTACTTCTTCTGGAGGTTTACTTTGCGACTCTGTATAAATTGTACCATAGTATGCAGATATGGTTTTGGTAAAAGTAACTTGACATATTTCTACAGGGATATAGTCCACGATACTCCAATTCATAATAAACTCTGCCTGAAAGCAACAAAATTCAATTGTAAACATTAAAAGAAAAAAAGTACAAGCACCATCATATTATGTTGTCATTACAGCATTGTCTGTTGGTGATTCTTCCAACTCTCCTACCTCTTGATCAGAGGTAATTTTCCTTTTGATTCCACCATGATTAGACTTGGGGGGGGGGGAGGACCGTGAAAAAAATTTACGTATTTTTACAATTTATTCATTATATTTAGCCATAATTCGACTATGAAAACAAATACACACACATCGCTTTATCTTTAGTACGTTGTTTAATATAATATAACTTATAGTATGGAAAATGGTATTATATGTGTATTGTATAAATATTTACCAAATCCAGCCAGACAAGATACTCATAACAATTGCTGACATCAAAATAAATACTATGAAATAATTCTTTGGTCAAAATGGACTGTATGATGTACTGTGTATAACTGTACGCATCCTCAACTTCTCTTTTGTTCGTGCTTAAAATGATTTTAGTAAAATCTGCAAAAACAATTTCTGATCCCAGCTTTTGTAATTCTGCTACCAGTTGGATAAATAATTTTTTCGAGTAATCATGTAACGTTCGTCTCAAAGCAGGATCGTAAAGGAATGATGATGGTGAACGTAACCATCTGTCAAGAATATACCAATCAATTATCAATCGCAGGTAGATATTAAAAAAAAATAATGAAAAATAAAAAATAAAATTTTTTTTTCACCTGTAAAAATGTACAAGCAAGAAATCGGCATATTGATTTTTAAAATTGCTAACTTCTTTTAACCATGTGCTGACCATGATTTTCAAAATTTTAAAGGCAGGCATGCATAATACTGTTTCATCATACGACGGTGCTACCGGAATTCCATCGTTCATTACCATATCCTAAGTTCTCGCATTATGGTATTTTTAGTAATTTTAAGGCCATTAATACTTGACGTAATTTAATTTGTTACATACTTGCAAAGAAACTTGTTGAGCGTTATGAAAGGCAACATAAGAGCTCGTGCCGTCTATGTCGTTGATTCGATTTGCTTGAACTAGTGCAGTAACAGCTAAACTTACAACATCTAGTTCAAAGCAAACATTAGAGTAGGCTCCAGAATTATTTACAACACAACCTGAACTCTCTTCAAAGTCTGTCAAAAGTCTGAAAAAAATTAATACGGTCAATATTTGTCCAAGGCTGTAATATAATTATGTTTATCATACTTGTCATATTTATTGTTATTATGGAAGTAATAACCTGCTATCATCGTTTTCGCTTCCTCCGAAATCAGGTTTTTCCGTGGAAGACCACCACAGCACAAAATTAGCTTTCTGTAAGTGGCGGGCATAAAATAGGTCCGCTCCAAATACTATCAAATCCATTGGTAAATTTCCTATAGGTGCATAAAAGTAACAAGCTTGCTCTATCAAGCTTTTTACCACCTGTTCGCTTTTGAAGTAATGTCTAAGCATTATCTTAGAACCGTTTCTTTGCCAATCCAATGTATCATAGAGATTATCTAAATCTTGAATGTGTGCCTTTACTATCGGAAATTCATTCAAAAAGGGCATTTTATCCGTCAACGTGGATGTCACTGGATGTCAAATATAACATAAATATTGGAGACACATAAACTAAAATATACAAGCCACAATACATTGCTTCAAAAAAGATATACCTATTGGAGACTGAATAATCATCATTGTAGCACCTTGACTTTCTTTCTTGTAATTTTTAAGAGCATTTTGGAGTTGACTATAAATAACTTTAACATCAGTTTCCACTCGAATGTTGAACTTTAGTGACTCTGGTGTTGAATTAATATTTTTAACTTCACCCAATTCAATACTGAAAAATTCTCTGGTCATAAAATTGTTTTTTTTTTTTTTTTTTTTTTTTTTAATAACCAACAGAGAACAAACGATTGAAACAATTTCACTTACGCCTTGTTTCTTTCATTAACGTAGAGTGTGCTCATGTTGGGCATACGATCAGTTCTAACAGTATCCAGTACAAATATATGACACGTTTTACTTCCTGACAAAAACAAACCCCACATAGCTCTACGGTAATTACTGCTAGCAGACCAATGGTGATATAAAAATATGTTTTTCACTTTATCAATCTGATTAAATGGAGTCATGAATGAAAATAATAATTATGTATTGTAAAATTTTTGATCGATATGTAAGGTTTTACGACACAAGTACATACATTTTGTAAATATGGTTGTGAAGCGATGTTTCTGTAAACTAGTTGATCCAATTGAAAATTATCGGTTCCGCTTCTCAACTCTCTCATTGCTTCTTTGGCAACAGCACATACACATCCAAGCTGCATTATTGCCCGAAACTCAAGAGACATTTGCGTTTCGTAAATTCCCTCAATATCAGGATCAATCAAGTCGTGCATTATCGTTCTGAAAATTAAAGTGTTCAATAAAACAACTAATCATAGCCATTAAATAATTCAACAAACTTACTGGCTGTGACATTTGAAAAATTTCTCGGGTACCGAGTACCGATACAAATTGTAAACAGGTCGAGAGCGCGGTAATATCTTGTGACATTGTTTCCAAGATCTGTTGGTGCTTTCTTTTTCTTTTCTCTCCTGTCGAGTATTGACGTAAAATATTCTAGGGACAGTTAAGCGCACTTGATGTAAATCCTGATCAACCAGAATCCATAAACGAAACAGTCCTGGCTCGTTCGTTTCGGCTATCTGCTCGAAATAAATGTATCAAGAATCAAGCATGTAGATTGTATGATATCAGTACGATTATTCGTCCCACCTGTATAATTTGCCAAGGAGTTTCCAAGAGTTTTTGTTGTTTACGTTGCAAAAAACCACCGAGTAAAGTCGTACTCTTACTTTTCTGAGTATTAGCTGGACCTGCAGTCTGGAAATGATCCAATCTGGATCGCTTTGTGGTACACAACTTTTTTCTCTCCGCTCTTTGTTTTGCTTGATATTTCCATTTCTCTTTGTGGAATGCTAGCCAAACTTGAAATTCTATCTGAAAGTTGGATTTAAAAAGATCATTATACATTGAAATTTAGAATAGTTTCTCTTTTTTAAAGTTGGCCTTGAGGCCCTAAGAGAAAAATATATATATAACATATACTGTACGACCGTCTCAATTGTTATCTCTACTACATTGTACATCTAAATGTAGAATTCGTTATTACCTGCGACTCTCCAATCTGCGGTGGATTTCCTAAAACTTTTCTCCAGTTGTCTGTCAACAGACTGTGGCTCTCCTTTTCGGCTTCCTCTCGCTCTTCATCCATAAAAGTCCGCTTTCTTTTTGTGACGCTGGCTACAAGCGGCTTGAGTTTATAGCGTTCATTTTCATCAGTGACATCTTCTATATCTGGTACTGATTCAATCGATTTTTTCAATCTTTTTTTATTTTGGTCATCGTCATCGTCGTCGTCGTCGTCGTCGTCGTCGTCGTCGTTGTCATCTTCGTCGTCGTAATTATTGTGATTTTCATCCTCATCGTTGTCGTTTCTCCTAGCAACGGGAGCTGCTTCGCGTTGAAAAATATCGGTTATCTTGCGCTGCCTTCTACCATCAGTTTTTTCCAGCAGCTTCTTGTGCAGCCAGTCCGGATGTCGGACTCGTGGTACTGGATTCGGCAAGCCCTGCATCGCCGCGGGAATGGTTATGATCTTTTGTATGGCACTGCCGAGTCGTTCAATGTAATATTGCCAATCGAGAATATCGCGTATCTCGATATCCTGGATACTCGGGTCCTTGAGCCACCGTCGCAGATGATGGCGCGCCACGCTAGGATCAGCCTGGAATATCGCCAATGGGACGGCTCTCTCGGTGACTGGCGAGCCCGTGGGCTTTTGCGATATAATGTACCTGCAGGCGAGCCCCGCGTCTTTGACCATTTCGTCACCGAGAAATTCGGCAAGGCGCTTGGCGGTCGATATCGAGGTGGACTTTTGGGCCCCGTACTCGTCCAATTTCTTCGACATGGATTTATTTTCGGAGATTAGGTCAAAGAGCTCCGGGTCCTGAAGAGCCGAGCCCTTGCTGTAGAGAATGTCGAGCCAGTAGTCAGCTACTTTGGCCACCGAGGCGTAGCACTCGGCTAGGGTGGACCCTTTGAGGAAGGCTTCAAACACCGAAGATTGAAAGAGCTTGATAAGTCGCAGCTCGCCTCGCCTCTTGATCTCGAAGCCCTTGAGCTCGGCCAGCGAGCCGTCAAAGTTAAAGACGGCGTAGCGCTTTTTCAATTTTTTGCCCTCTTCTTTGGCGGCAGGCAGAACCATTGCCAGATAAGGGCCATCGACTTCAAAAAAAATCGAATTTTCGCTGCGTATCTTGTAATCACGCGTTCTACCATCATTGGTTAAAATCAGCTCGTGGTATTGATCATTTGTAAACTGATCATTGACCATGAAATTCAGCATGGCGTTTGGATAAGAGACAACCAGCTTGGCTCTGCTTGGATTGCGGGTCTTGAGAACGACGTTGTCGGGAAACGAGCCCGGCAGTATGCACCAGATACCGTCGGTGTCGAGCTCGAGGGGCCTACCCACCTGCTCGATTATCTCCCGTGCTTTCATTATTATATGGGCACCGGTGTAACACACGATGCCACCCATCTCCATGCTAAACCAACGCGAACCCTTACGCATCACGTAGCCGTAGAACGAGTTCAGGATACACTTGTGCGCCAGTTGAAGCGAGTCGTACAAGACTTCGCGACTCTTGGCCGACTTTACGGCGGCAGCGTCGTTGTCGATAATGGCTTGGGCCACCTGCTGTTTGGCCTTCTTCGTCAGTCCCTTGTACTCGTAGCGTCGGTCCCGGAACGCTCTCACAGTGTCGACGTAGAACGAATTTTCCCTCTGGCATATGGTCTGGCTGCGCTCCTCGGTCCTCGTCTCCTTGACCTTTTTGTAGGTACGCCGGCAATACTCGGATAATCGTTTCTTTTCGATGGCAACCTGCTCCTGACGGCTCAGCTGGTGAAAGGCACGGAGCTTGCCACCCGACAGGGTCGCCGGAAACTTTTCGGTTTCGAGCTGCTGCTGGATACGCTGGTACTCGCCGGCCGTGGCCTTGAGATACTCGCCCCGCCACATCCATTCCATATTACGCTGGCATTTGGCGCCGGGTTTGTTGTAACAGCAGGCTGCGCACACGGATTCATCGACCATCGCGTACGGCTGCAGACGATTCGTCAGTATAATGTTGGGATACATGGCACCGACGTCCAGATGATAGATGCACGGCTTTTCGGTTCTTAATGGCTGGGCGCGAAGGGATTCCAGTTTGGCTGCGTTAATCACAAATTACAAGCTTTAATCGTTGGTACAAGATTTATGTCTTTTTTTTTTTTTTTCATAATCCTCTGTCACGACATCAATACAATGTCTAAAACGAACATTCCTTATAATTTTTATTGTGTAATAACTTTGACACAAAAAAGCGATAATAATGATGATGACAATATAAATTACAACAACTTGTTTGGTGAAATTGTATTTTTCTTACTTTTTATTTCCTCGACAACTTCCTCGAAATTAATTATATCCGACATTGGCACCTTCTCTTCCTCCTCGATGGCGTGTTTAAGTGCTTTCTCAACACCGCCCATCAACTCTTCAACTGCACTCGGTATTATTTTAAAACGATAAGGAATATCGGCCCTGAATACGCCGGATTCCAGAGCCTCTACATGACCACCAACGTAAGTTTCAACGTCTAGTAAATGTCCATCTTTAGTCATTTTGGTCAACTCAGCTTCTTGCTTGTTTGGATATATAACATTGGCACGGTAAGCCTCCACCATGAGCAGCGACTCGCACAGAGTTCCCGAGCCTTTGCGCAACACTTCCTCTGGCTCCATGGGGATAATCGTGCACAATGCAAAAATAAAAGGATGCACATATTTTTGATACAAATAGTAAGTCGCTACAGCATCCGATACCGAATAATTGCACAAGACTTCCGGTTCTTCAGCTGCCAATCTGCACATGTCTTCGGGATCTGGGCCCCCGATAAAAAGAAAAAGAATAAAACTTTGGATTTTGTACAAACTTTTCTCAAATCACGTGTAATTAAACCTTACTTACCTAACTCGACTGGATCATACCGTAATTTTGCTTTAGCCACTGCCTTGAGACCTTGTGATCCCACGGGTAGGTATGAGTCTCGTTTTACCCAACACAGACAATCAAAATGTATTGCCGGCCTACTACAGTAAATATTGTCTTTGTTTTTAGAAAAACCTATTCTCTCCTTCATGTCAATGTTATGAATGGCAGCCCTTGTTTCAATAAATGGCCAGTCAAAAAAATCGCCATTGTAGGTTACAAATATGTGTGGCTTGATTTGATTAATATGATTAAAAAACTTATTTATTAAAGCTTTTTCATTGGCTTCGTTCCAAACTGTGAAAAAACCCTCAAACTCGGGCTTTGGACTATATTCAAAATCGTCAATGTCAGCAGAAATTATTTCTCGATTGTTTATCAAAAAACCCTAAAAAAAAATCATAAAAAATAGGCGAAAGGTACAATAAAAAATTAACTCTCGAGGTTTTAATAAAGTGTACCTGTCCATCCAACATGTAAGAAATCATTATGATTTGATCAGTGTTGGCATCTGGAAATTTAAGAGGTAATTTCGTAGTTTCGATGTCAAATGCCAAAACTATAGGCTCAGGAGGCTCAACGATATCTGACCTTGGAGTTATAATAGCTGGCTGAGATGTACCTCTGATTTTAACAGAGTACCATTTTCCAACGAAAATCTCCAGGTCAATGGATACTCTCACGTGATGAGGTACATCGTGCTCTCTGAAAACATTTTATAACGATCGACAATTGTAAAATCAGAAGTGGAAAAGGCAAATTTATAATATTTATTTTATTGCCTCATATCTAGTATATTGTCCATTTGATCGATTATTTTTTTTGTATCCTGTTCACGATGGTTGAAAGTTTTGGCTAATAGTTTTGAGTAATGCGTGTTACTCTTTTCACGCTCTTTATTCACTTTGACGACATTCGCTATATCTTTTTTAACCTTTTGCATGTTGTTGGAATTGACAAAAGACAATTTTATATAATCTCTTTTTAAACCAGACAGGTGGTTTGGCTGAAAAAGAAAAAAAAAACATGTGCATATTTAGCAAGTACCAGTCCCAGTTTGTATAACCAAGCCGGGATCACAAAAAATCATTGTTTTACTATGCTTACCAAGTCAAGATCCTCTTTTGCGACAATGTCAGCTCCAAGTAAAAAACCAGTAAATTTTTTTAGCAGATATGTGATAAGCTCTTGATGTGAACCTTCACGGCATAAGATGTAAAAATATGGATGATATGGCAAAGAAATTTTAAATCGAGAACAGTCTTCTTCCAAAAAGTAAAAATCAACACCGGAAACTAGTTGCTTGTCCTCTTGAAGTATATCAGTCTAAGAGGAAAAAACTCAACAAATGTAAGAATGGAATGGGAAAATCCAAGGACGTACTATTTTTTTATAATAAAGATTGAGGAATCAAAATGTGAAAAATTACGGTATGCATATTGAACAGAAATCCAATTCTTTCCTTGACATCAGTGTCTCTATGAAAGCCATAAAGAGCATCTGTTTCAATGTTTTCCTTGACTTGAAGTAATTTATTTTCTGAGGCACCTCCGTCCCTGTGAAAACAAATATTTATGCAAGTAATCAAGTATACTTGTGTTTGAGCATATGATTGATTTTTATTATTGACGCTATGTAAAAAAATAAAAACAATACTTGGAAATCTAACCTTGGAGTGGTACCGTCATCTCCCCCATAAGTCTTGTCGGCAGTTTTATCGCGAACGTATCGTCCCGTATTTACAGGCATTTTTTACTTTAATTTTAATATTAAAATTTTATTAGACCAAATACTTTTGCACACAAAAACAGCATCAATTGGAGTCTCTTTTTTTTCAACAGTTTACATACTTTGCATTTGCACTTTTGTAGCGCGACTCGCGCGCGCTAAATAACCATCACATATATACATACACACACGTTTCGAACGAGCCGAAACTCTCGAAAGTCGAAGTCCGGTAATTCATAATAGACCAAGAGCTGAGGCCCGAGAGTGGTCAAAATCTTAACCAGCCGCCACTCTTAAGTACCAGAATTATTGAATCTTATGATTCAAGGAGATCCGAAATATTTTGGTCATATTTTGTTCTGGCTACATTCCGCAAATACTGCCAGCTGCTCTGCTATGAGTACTATAGTGGTAATTGGTAATAATTATTTGGATCAGCGCCATCTAGCGGTCTTCATTTTTTCGCCGAAAAGTGGCCTCTAAAACTCTGAATCAGAGCTTTACGGCCTAGAGCCATTTAATCAATTATAAACCAGCCGCAACAAATGGTACAGACGTAAAATAGAAATTTAACGTTGTGTAAGCTATTTGCGGCAAGTTTACAGTTCATATTTTTCCAAAAATCGACCTTCTATATACATTTATACTTTTGGAGGTAGATTTTCGGGTAGAATATCGACCTTATGCCGAGCGCTCCGCCGCTCAGACTCGGACCGCCATACTAAGTGAACGAATCTATAGTTAATTTATGACATGCATACATACATGTTGACAACCTCAACGTAGGTGTTTAAGTATTAATATATTTATACCATATAGTGTAACCTAAATTATAAAGATTATTGAACACATGTAATTGACTTGATTTTCACACATTATTTTTAACACTTTAATGCGCAGTGTGAAGATTCGAGCTTGCGTGTGCGGTACCTCCGATGTCGCGTACACAAAATGGTATTCAAGTATATAATACGCTGAAACGACCTACACTTGGAGTACGCGAAAAATACAATATCAACAGAAATGGCTTATCGCATTATAAGGAGCCGACAGAAGAATTTTTGCACCCCCCTTTAGTAAGTAATAAAGATTTACAGGTTTATTGGGAGATTTTTCGCTTACGCGAAACCGATCGTATATTTGTACAGGCTTTTAATTTGTTTAATCAAACAATTTATTACGTGTTAGTATTCTTCCCTATGTAACAGTGTTTTAATTTACAGAAAATTTCAATATCAATTTGTCGATATAGTTTGTCTCACGTACGTTCAAGACAATTGACAGAATGAATCACTTTCGTCTCTGTCAATACTTAATTTTGCCTGTATATAGAAGAAAATTGAATAATTGAAAATGAGCGAAAGGAAATTCACAAAAGGCTTAGGAAAGCCTGGAATGGCTGCACAACTTCGTGAGACCGTTTCTCAAGTTGTGCGTGAAAAAACTTGCCAGGTTGTTCTTTAACATACATTTATTATTATTGTCAATATAATTATTATTATTATTATTGCTAATTCGTTTGAAACTAGCAAATGTTACTTTTATGTTATTATCTGCTGTTACGTTTTTAGAGTAAATTACATGTAATCGAACCTATAGATTTTGAAAGCTTTATTGTTAAAAATAAAACTGTCATAATCAATGATAAGTATCGAAAATTGCTGTTGTATCCAATAGATGATGTTACAGTGAGTAACTTTATTTTATCCAATGTATAAAAAAACTGATTAACGTAACATAATTATACTTTTGTAGCAAGTTGCCATTCCTCGAGATCATCGCACCGTTGTTCCCAGTGTACCAGCAGAAATCCCAGATGAAATCAGTATATTTACCAAAGAGTGCATCAATAGTTACTCTACTGATTGGAATTGTATTCATTATAAATATTCAGCTTACAGTGGTTCATATTTTGATCTTGTTTGGTAAGTAATTTACCCCATACATTGTGTGCAGTTTAATACTTGATGATTTAATCGTTTCATTCAAATAATTTGACAAATTAGCGTGAAAGAGGAAATGTACGAAAATGATTTGGAAAATCAAGTCTACGAAATGGACATCCAAATTGATCAAATCGATAAGGTGAATATTTATTGCAAAGTTCATTATTTTATTTAATTATTAGTACAACTTTGTTTATGTTTAGGAGGCAATGACAAATTTAAACGGCCTTGACAAGCGGGGTTATCTGATGAAGGGATCCGAGATCGGGTCCAGCGATCGAATCATATTTTCCAGCATTGGATCAAAGTCCTTCAAAAGACGCTTTTGCCATCTCAGACAGCAAATCGATGGCACGTATGTTTTAGAATTTTCCAAAGATGATAAAAAAACGGACGTCAAAATTGCCAATTTAGATTTTTGTTCGGAAATTGTACGAAACAATAAAAGAGGAAAATATTGTTTTGAACTAAAAATGACTGGGCCTCACAAGTCATATGTTTTGGCTACCGACAATGAAAATGAGCTGCAAGATTGGATCGCCAAATTGAATGATGTGCTTCAACATTACAAGCAGCAAGAAGAAAACCACGCGGCCTGGTTAGAAAAAACCTCCATGACGCAATCACAATCTAATCAAGTAAGACACAGTTTCGTTCCTTGTGTTGGATACATTGATCCATTAATATGCTATGAGTGTGTAAATTTGTTTAGGTTTTCGGTACATTAAAGAGTTTGGAGCAAAGTATGAATCCGCAACTGATACGATATTCTCAAGAGACAGATGCGAGTATTGGGTCTGAAAGAAAAAAACAGAGAAAACGATTATTTCCCATGTACTTATTTCAGAATAGCAAAAAGTTTTCTTTGCTCAATGAAAACGACTCGAAACCCTATAGAAAACAGTTTAACAGAAGAATTTTTATAAAATGTGAAAGCATTACGTTCAAACTGCAAGCTTCAATCAACGATAGTGAGTTCTCGAATCAAGTCGAGCCGTACTTTACCACTTTAAGCGTGTTTGATGTGAAAAAAAATCGTAAGCTGTGCGAAAACTTTTATTTCAACGTTAATAACGATTTTGCGTGTCAAATTTTCAAAAATGCTAAATACGCGGAATCAAATGGTTCAACGGACATCAATGACGAAGGCACTTTCAAATTGTGTAGAGAATTCAATGGGTTTGAGGCTGTTTGGTTGAACGATCTCAAGCAAGCGGTAATTAACATCAGTGATCCTCATCCAGATATATTTCTCGTTGTAAGGATAGAAAAAATTTTACAAGGCAACGCGCATCAAATTGTCGACGCTTATGTACGGGCTGACAAAGACCCTCGCTTAGGTGCGAAAGCGCATAAGCAAATGCAAGCTTATTTACAACGGTATGAGTATAACACTGACTTTATCGATTTTTGAATAAGCATCGCTGCACGAGAATACACCTACGTACTGAATGGACGCCTTTTGGTTTTCCAGATTACAAAACTATAGAATGCCTTTTGCTTGGTCTGCCAAGCCGCTATTTCGTTTGTATAGTAACGAATTGGAAACGTGCTTGGATTTCCCAGCTATTTATCGGCAAGATGGGAACAAAATTAAAGATGAGGAATTATTAAAATTACTTTCGGATTACAGAAAGTAGGTCTGATTGTATAAACACACACCCAAGTTTATGCATATTTCAAACATTTTAAAATCTCTCTTTTGTTTACAGACCAGATAAATTCAGCAAATTGGCCGTGATACCTGGGAGAATAAAAATAAAAATGGAAACTGTAACCAAAAATCCAGAAAGTAAAGATATTTCATTATTATGCGAAACAACATCTTTATTTGGTTGTTGGAAATCTTTTTAAATTTATTGCAGATACATTATCAACTTTTTTGGAACCTTTGCATCCGTTTCCTGTTCCACCGACGTCGAAAGTTACCGTAGAAGTTGCAGAGTTTGACGGTGTATCTGAAAAAAATATTTACCCATTCACGACATACATCAACAACCTTTATGTATATCCACAGAATCTCGCATTTGACACTCAAAAAATATTTAATAGAGCAAGAAATATTGCGTGCTTTGTGGAGATGAGGGATGATGACGCCGAAACGACGCAACCTTTAAAAGTAATCATTAAAAATTTGTCTTATTATCTTAAACTGTTTGTTGGTACATTCATTAACAAAAAATTCGTATGTAATTGTTGATTTTGATTAACGTTTCTTTTTTTTTTTTTTTCTTTTTATTTCCAGTGTATTTATGGGCGTCCCGGCTCTACTCTTTTTATTTCGAGAACTTCTTGTTCCGTTTTACATCATAATGCAACTCCGTGTTGGTACGAAGAAATAAAAATCAGACTTCCACTTCAGCTTCACGCCAAGCATCATTTGCTTTTTACATTTTATCACATAAGTTGCGATGTTAACAAAAAGAAAGAATGCAAAGTTGAGTCTTGCATTGGTTACTCTTGGCTACCTTTGCTGAATAAAGGCCGGTAATGCGTTTTTTTTTTTTTTTTTTTTTTTTTTTTTTTTTTGTTATATTAAATATTTGCTTTTCATTAAATCAAGCTTAATTGATTTTTCAGTCTCATTTTGACGGATGCCAGTAAATACGTATTGCCAGTGGCTATGGATTTACCAGAAGGATATTTATCCATTCAGTCCCTGGGTCTTGGTAGAGGAGTGCGTCGAAAAGCTTATAACTCGAGAACTAGTGATAAATCAAGATTACAGTACATTTTTTTTTCTTTTTTTTTTTTTTTTTCAGAATGCTGGTCCAGAAATATCATGGATAGATTTTCAAAAGTCGATATTCACTGTATCGCTGCAAATCAATTCAACAGTTTTGACTAGTGATATCAACTTGCACAACCTATTTGCTCATGTAGAAAAAATGTTGAAACCTGTGCCAATTTCCGTGCCGTCTGATTCAGAAACTTGCAAAGTATTGAGATCGGCTTACGACATTGGATTGGGATCCATCGTAAAGTTTTTACCGACAATTTTAAATAAATTATTTACTTTGTTGACCTCTCGGACAAGTGACGAAGTGGGCCAGTGTATTGTCAAATTATTGATTCACATGGTTAACTTGGTACATGAAGCGGGTCATCAAGAGATATTGTTTTCTTACGAAAAGGTGATGCTCGCACCAATTTATTTTTAAACCAATTAACATGTCTTCATTCAATGTTCCAGTTTGTTTTTTCATCAATCATCAGCTGCAAATCCAAACCGAACAATGCAACTTCCCCAACAGTTCACGAACGTCTCGTAAAATACTTGTCAGTTTTATTACAACCGATAAACGTGGACTTGGTATTTTTACAAAAATTTATCCGCCATTCGAGACTTATTTTCAACCTCATAATTAAAAGCATGGCTCAATATCTCTTTGCTTTGGAGCGCATAAAGGTAAAAGTATCTTGTTAACGTTTACAGCTATAAGGATTTTAAGCTCCTTTTAATGATCATTACATTGCAGATAAATCGATATGAAAGATTTTCCAAAGATTATCAGCAGCAAATTGAAACTTTTTTGCTAATGATTTCATTGTACATTGAAAACAAATGTAAGGATGCACCTATGGAAAGTCACACGCTCAACGAAAGTTGTGCTCAATTTTTCAAGGTAAAAATAAAAAGGATAAATTTTCAAGGAACGTTCAAACCAAAATTTTTATGTATTTCAGCGTTGTCTGACATTTATGGACAGAGGCTTTGTTTTTAAATTAATAAATTTGTACATCATGAAATTCTCTACGAGCTCGGCCACTCACGTACTGCAAGATTTAAAATTCAAATTTCTTCGCATAATTTGTTCCCACGAGCATTACGTTATCTTTAATTTACCATTAATGCACACGCGAGTACTATCCAAAGGTAATAGATTTTTATAAATGATTATAATAAAGATAAATTTTTTTTTCTTTTTTCTCGTTATCTATTGTCCGTTTTTGTAGGGGTAAACGATACTGCAGATGAAAATGACGGTACCTTGTTGATTTGCCCTTTGTTCACAATACGTTAATTTAGAGCATCTTTATCGTTTAATCAATTTTATTTTAACCTTTTTAGATTCGTTATACGACGATTATTATTTATCTGAAAATTTTTGCAAACACCACTTTCTCGTAGGACTAGTGTTGCAACAATTGAAAATCTCTCTGAGTGAAGCAGAATCTGTTCGAACCATGGCCATTTCTACGCTCAAATACTTATTGGCCAAGCACGAATCGGATGATAGATATCAAGATAAGGTTTAATGAAAACGATAAACGCTTGCAAGTACCTATTTAATGTAAAACAATAATTGTACCATCATGTATTGCAGGGTCGCATGAGTAGAGTAGTGTATTTGTATATACCATTATTGAGCATAACATTGGAGATTTTTGATCGTTTCGAAACTGTCGACGACTTAATCAATAAATGGACAAATGCTCGCCACACTAGTTGTCTCGCGTCCTGTTCTTGTCAATCGTGCTCAAAAAATTTGACCATTTTAAGAAGTGACAATGTCGATGATGTTGTTACAACGACGAGTACACCGATAAAATTGTCACTCAACAGGTAAGGTGTATAGATACACCAACATCTATATAAATATACGTGTAAGATCAAATTCACGCCAAAATTTTGTATTCGCAGGTGTTTAGCACAAACGGATTCACCACTGAAAACTTGCGTCAACGTTCGAAATTCTGCATACTTGGCAGCCATAGCTGGACACAATTCCATGGGCAATGCTTGTAAGGTCCGTAATGCCCAAGCAGATTTGCCGGAAACAACTAATTTATCGGTTCAACCGATGCCATCTCAAGAAATACTGATGTCTTTAGAAATGAATCATGACTTAATCGATGAGGAAAAAAAAAAACACTCGCGGTCCATTAGTTCGTCGGGTTCGGTTGCGTTCATTACCCCTAGAAAAGATAAATTTTCACATGCAGACGTGCAAAATTTATTGATTTGTTTTTTATTTGTAATCAAGCATTTGGAAGAAGAGCATTTAAAAGTTTGGTGGCAACAATGTAGTGACGTTGAAATACATAAATTTTTGTCAGTGATGGAGTAAGAAATTGTTATTGTTATCATTATTTTACTTTTTATAGCTACAAAGAATAATTGAATTTGCAAGCTTGCAGTATTGTTAACATTAATTTATTTCATTTCATTGTGACAGGTTAAGCTTACATCATTTTAAATATACTGGTAAAGAACAACAAGCTGTGATATCGATTCATCACCATCAAGATAGTTCCATCAAACCAAAGTCAACCAAGGCTATGACTTTACCCGCCAGGATATCGCCCCTTGAAATTTCGAATGACAATTCCACTGCCTCCAATACGTTGCAATCTCAAAATTTAACTGTCCTTGGTGATAGATCTGTATATAATAATAATAATAATAATAATAATAATAATAATAACAACAACAATAATGATAATGACGACGACGGTAAAAAAAAGCAACGTACAAAAATACAGGCCAACTTGGCCGTGGAAGTTGGACTCGTCGTGCTCGACTGTTTGGGATTATTCTGTCGACATTTTGAGGTACATCATAATACCATGTGACCCATTAAATTTGCATTTTTATTTATATATACACGATCACCAAATTGTACCTACATTTAAGGAAATATGATTAACAGGATGCATTATTGCAAAACGATAGAAATGATTCTATCGTACAACAAATTGTCAATATTTACTTGACTTTTCTACAAATCGATCAATCTGAAAATTTGTTGCGTCACGTTTTTGCGGCAATGAGGTCGTTTTTGAATAATTTTTCTGTAATTTTGTTCAGAGGTAAGTATTGTTACTTGCCGAAATTAATATTTTTCTCGATTTCGAGCCAATGGCATTATTAATATTATTCACGTGTTATTACAGGTAACGCACTGTTATGTGGACGATTATGTTACGAACTGTTAAGACGTTGCAACAGTAAATTAAATTCTGTGAGGCAGGAGTCGTGCGCCCTGCTTTATTTGCTCATGCGAAGCAATTTCGAATTCACCAACCGAATTGGCTTAACAAGAGTCCACTTGCAAGTAAATACGAATAAGATCCTCACATCGTTTAATAATAATAATAATAATAATAATAATAATAATAATAATTAAAAATCATTAAATTATCGCGTTTCGTTGTCCATAGGTAATCATTTCTGTTTCTCAGCTCTTGCGAAACGTAATCAATTTGAATAATCCACGATTTCAAGAATCGTTATCGTTAATGAATAGTTATGCTTCTTCGGATAAAGTTATGAAAGGAACAAATTTTCTTCTTGAGGTCCAAGACTTGATCAAACGAATCAGAACGGTGTTAATGTCCACGACGCAAATGCGGGAGCACAAAAATGATACCGAAATGCTGCTCGACCTGCAATACAGACTCGCAAATTCATATGCTAGTACACCTGAATTAAGACACACGTGGCTCGAAACGATGGCACGAAGCCACATGGAACACGGCAACTACTCCGAGGTACATATACCTAGGAAGGCAAAGTTATTATTTTTTTTCCCTCATTAATATGTTTATCTTTATAATGTTGATAAATAATAATAATAATAATGGACTCGAAATGCAGGCTGCTTGCTGTCAGTTACACATTGCCGCGCTTATGGCGGAATACTTGAAACTGAAGAATTTAAACGACTGGGGGGCAGAGGCTTTTGATGGGATATCAAAAAATATATCGAGAGATGAAAAAGATTTGAAATTCGATACCGGCATCCAAGATATACATTACAATAGCCAAGTGCTGCTTCAACAGTTGGAGTCTTGTACGGAAATTTTGGATAGAGCAGAAAGATTCGAAATACTTGGTCAATTGTATCACTTGATTGTACCGATTTACGAGAGGGACAGAAATTACGAGGCCTTGGCTAAATGCTATTCACATCTGACCCAGGCGTACAGTAAAGTCGTGCAAGTTAATAAAAGTGGAAAAAGACTGCTCGGACGATTTTACAAAGTCTCTTTCTTTGGATTGGTAAATATATATATATANCTTAAAAACTCGAAAACCGTCACCAAAAAAAGAAGAAGGAAGAGTAGCATCAATGGAAGGAAGAAGAAAAAAAAAGATTGTCGAAGTATTATTTAAAAAAAGTATGTCGAAGTACTGTATACAAATTGAATTTTATTACAATGTTGTAAAAAATGCATTTTTATTACACGAATATTATTAGGCCCACTTTGAACGAGAGCATGGCGCCGAGTACATATACAAAGAGCCTAAAGTTACTTCGTTATCAGAAATCTCGGAACGTCTGCGCGACTTGTATTCCAAAAAGTTTGGCTGCGAAAACGTCAAGATAATCATGGACTCTGGTGACACTAGCGTCGACGAATTAAATTCGACAATAGCTCACATTCAAGTAACTCATGTTACACCTTACCATCATAACGATAATGCCGAACCCGAGGCCCGCCAAACGGAGTTTGAAAGAAATCACGACATTGACTGCTTCATGTTTGAAACGCCTTTTACGCGGGACTGTGCGAAAAGCCGAGCAAGCCCACAAGATCAATGGAAACGGCGTACTATTTTGACAAGTAAGTTCATAATTTCTTGGTTGCTTTGAGCATTTTCTGATATTGTACTTTTTTATTCCTTTCATATAGCTCAACGTTCATTTCCCTATGTTAAAAAACGCATCAAAATAATATCAAAGAAAACTATCGAATTAAGCCCGATACAAGTTGCTCTGGACGAGATGAGACAACAAGTTCAAGAACTGCAGAATGTGACGTTGACGAAGCCTGTAGATTTAAAAAAATTACAACTCAAGCTTCAAGGCAGCGTATGCGTTACAGTGAATGCGGGCCCTCTGGCGTATGCATGTGCATTTTTGAATCCTACGCTGCGCTGCAATTATCCCGATGACTTGGTTTTAGAATTGAAAGATGTGTTTGGGTAAAAAGAGTATACGTTTATTTACGCTCACTCACAAAGTATACCCAATCAATGCCCTCATTGACTATTTTCTTTGTTTTTGTTTTCTCAGAGAATTTGTGAAAATTTGTCGCACGGCTCTTCAAATAAATAGTAAATTAATTTCGTGCGATCAGTATCAGTATCAGGAAGTGCTGCGTGAAAACTACCAAAAGTTGTGCAACAACTTATCATCAGTATTGGGAGATTCGGTCTGGCCAGACGAACATGCCAATAATTTTAAACGTAACAGCGCGGCTCTTTTTAGTGCCATCAGTGGCACGACAAACAGCCATTCGAGCACGGCTTGAGAGCTAATTTAAAGACTGATGGGTGTATTATTAAGTATATATTAGACGACATCACAAAATAAATAAGTAGCAAATTTTTATTACCAAGGATATTTATTGGGTAAATTATTTGTACCTTTTTGCTCTTTGTATATTTAGAAAAATTTTTTTATACATGTGTGATAAAATGAAACAAAAAAATCTACAACTCTTGATTAAATAAACTTTTGTTCATTTATTTTTTTCTTTAATATTAGAGAATTCTCAAACTTTATTATACAACTCTACACAATTACGTTTTTTTTTCTTTCATGTACAAGTGTACAAGAAAATAATTTCAGAGGTAGTAAAAGAAATTACACTTGTTTCGATGATAGGTTTTTAAGCGCCGAAAATGTACTAAACTGCCTCGAGCGATCGTCACAAATACCGTACCCAACAACCAGTAGCAACTGGGAAAAAAGTGTCGAAATAAAAAATAAAATCAAGCATTGCCCAATGCTTTTTGTTCGTTCCAAACTTTCAATAATTCATCTGGGTCGCCGTAGCCGTGCGAACTGATTACATATTTATAGTTATACTTTGTGTAATCTTTCTTGTAGAAATGAAATTCTTCGCAATGAAACGGTTCTATTCCGGCTTTTTTTGCAACGAGAGCCAAAAAGATGTCATCGAATCTAAAATATTTAGTATACATGCTAGCAAAATACATGTCCAAAAGAGCCTCCTTTGATAATACATACGATCCAGCTGTTACATATGGTGGCCATAAATGATATGGGTATTCTTTTAATGAAACATACCACTTTGAACTTTTGTGCCTGTGAGGCGCGGATCTAAATGTAAATCCAGCAAATAATCTAACGTCTTCTGGCAATTCAAAGTCAAATAATTGTCGCCTCTTTCGAGATGACATTTTTATCCTTGGCCTTGTTATTTCGACAAATTTAACTGTACTATTTGAATCGAGTGTTTTATTGCCATAACGTGACTTGTACAACCATCCGTTACTTTTGTTGCCAGTAATTTCAGCGTTTAGTCCAATCATAGATCTCTTTTTTCTGAACGGTTCAATTGGTCCTAGAAAAAAATACGCATTAGGTCGCCATGAACGGTGCTAGCATTCTGCACAATTAATGCACATAGTGGGGTGTACTTACTTTCATTAAAATTAACACCGTCTTTTAAATAATCGGGATATAAAGTTGGATTTTTCAAAAATTTCAAGATATTTTTCACAGAAATGTACATGTCATCGTCAACAAACACGTAATATTTTGAGTTGAGACAAAACTTGAAAGCCCAATGAAAACCCATCATAGTTTTTATGGTATTGTTATAATACGAATCTTGAAAATCAGCTTGAACAATGTCTTGATATTTAATTGATTCCGCGTCAATCTTTGCTTTTACTTGATCGTCATTAGAGTGTACACCCAGTAGAAATATTGTTTTCAGTGGCACATCGGAGAATCTTTTTTCAAATCCCCATGAATGACGAATAGCTATTCTGTTGGCAAAGTTTTCAACTGCAGATTTTACCAACAGGACTATACGTAATGTTTGAAATCTTGGTTCTAAACATTTATTACGGATATCACGAATAAATGTGTAATTGTAAATGTTTATTGGTGAAACTGATGGTTTTTCATTGTGACGCAAAGCAGCTACAAATTCATGTATATCTCCTTTGTATGGATATGAGAAATTTTCATCAAATGGCACTTCAAACATATGAGTGAAAAGACCAAAAAAATCTAAAATAAAAATTAAACTACATCCTATGCAAATGTGCCTCAACTTGATTGCAAAAAATAATTTTGCAATTTTTGTACAAGCAGATCGCAGTATGCAATGCATTTTAGTAAAATTATGTTTTTGGCACCATTATTGTCCTTCACATGGTAAAATAATAAAATTTGATCGTCAATAATCTGCAACATGAATTTTTTTTGTGTTATTATTTTTGTCAAATACTTGACCTTTATTTAGTAATGCGATAAATTATAAAAAGTAGACAAAATTCATGCTCACTTTAAAGTCACTTCAAGTGTTGATTGTTGCCTTTTACTGCCAAGTACTGCTCAATTACGATTGCACGTTGCACTGAGAAAGAGAGCATACTTATGGTGGAATATTGAAATGTATTCAGAAAAGTTATGTATATATTTTTTTCGTCATCCCCGACGGTAAAGTTTGTTGTTTACGTCCGCTTAGTAGGACGTAAAGCGACAAATGTGTACGGCCGCTGAGCGAGACGCTTCTACGAGGACCGTGCTCTCAAATGCACACTGATTATCTATATATATATATATTATATCTATAACGAATATTGGCATCCATGTATATATATGGCGGCCAAGTGTTGTGTTGTATAAGTTGTATTTTTTTTGACGGCCAGACGCATGTTAGTGCGCATTGTCTTTTCACCTTTTAATGCCTTCTGCCATCCGCCTTTATCGTTGCGTCGAGTCGATTCACGCCTATATTAAATATATCGTTGCCCGTTTTTCTACCTTCTCTTACTCGTTTACCGTATGATCTGTTTCTCGTTTCTTGTGTACGTGTAATTAAAATAACCACTACGTGTTTTTTTAACAAAATTTATTTCAAGTTTAGAGTTACTTGTAGGTAATGGTGGATAAATTTTCATGGTTATTGGACTGCTACCTTGAAAGTCTCGCGCTCTATATGAATAAGCACATATTCAATACATGGACTGGAAAACCAAGAATGAAGTATCGTTTAATGAAAGTTCTTTTTTAAGTGTACTTTGAAGAACTATAAAAAAAAAATATGTATTCCAGCATTCACTGTTGAATTATGCGTATGTTTTTTTGTGATCGATCGGTCAGTCCAATTATTGGGCACGTTCGTTTATGCATCGTTCGTCCGTTCGCACTTCATTAGGACCTCGGCGATTCATTTTTCCCTGCGTTAACCAAATCAACCTGTTGAACAAACTTTCCTACACGGGATGACGAAAAATTGTATACTTACGTCACTCGGCCGTAAGGTGGCTGATGGACGGCCGCGTGATGTCGACACACTCCACGCGGCACGCGGCCGTACATCAGCCACTTTACGGCCTCGTAAGGGCTCGGGCATATGGAACCGCGTAAAGCGTAAAGCGTATCGCGTAAAATTATAGGAACAGGGAAAGTTAGGTAAGGTACGCTTTACGCCTTTACGCGAAAAAATTTGTCATCGCGCATGTGGGAGTAAAAAATACGCGCGTAAGTGTTTTTAAACCAATCACACACGGAGAGGGAATTTACGGGTTTATCGCATGGAGGGTATCTGGCTGTTAGCGCATGCAGCCTCCCCATGCGTCTAAAACGCGAAGCTGATGCGCTGGATGCCAGCCAGTGCTTGTGTTAAGGCCCGTAGAGTGTTACATGCTATCAACACATGTGAGTACACGGCTGCGAACCAAGAAAAGCCGTAGCCGAAACTCATCGACTATGTCCGAGCTGAAAACGCAAGGAGCATGATGGGTTTAACGCATCATGCTCCTTGCGTTTTGGGTATCAGCTGATAGTTGGCGGCGTTGGCACGAGGCGCGAGCGCCTATATATATATGCTATATATGTATATATACATATAAATATGTATACATTTAACGCTGTTTCTGTTCTTTTAAGTATTACATATGAGAATGTGTTACAAGTATGAACTTTAAACGCTATGCAAGTTTTAGAAAGGAAAAAAAAAATTTTAATCAATGTAACAAAATAAAAAATTGTATAATACAGGAAGTTTTTACTTTCTTTTTTTCTCGCTTGTTTCTGCTGCATGTAATGAAGGAAAAATAAATTAATCGACTATTATTTTGTGCATAGCATTAAAAATTTATTTGTCGTTATCCAAATAAATACTATAATTTATAGAAAAATGAAGGCTATTGTACCAATTGTTTATACTTTATGTAAAACATGCAAGGTAATGATGATAATACAATAAGAAGCAAACCATTGGAAGATAACGAAGGTTGTACAAGTGATTCTGAAAAGTCTCCTGCTTGTTGTTGAAAATTATCCATAACCAAAGTCTAACATGCAAGACTTTAAGACTTTGTAGTGAATTAAATATCTTGAGTGCTTATGAACGGAGACAATTCAGTAAATTAGAAATCATGTGCACAGGGTCCTATATCAATCAAACATAACATAATTGTAAGTGTCAAACCGATACACCAACAGATTATTTCTAAAGAGCTGTCGACGTACTCAAAATGTACGTTTGCGTTTCTGACACAAGATAAGTGTTGTTGCAATAAGATATTTTTTAATAAATATTTGACAAATAAATTATTACTGCCTATTCTAACGTACATATATGTATATTTATATATATACATATATGTGTGTAAACTTATTTCTGATGTTTTTGGTTAGAAATACCACAACATTGAAAATTTTGTGCGAATGCATCATCTTTATATACTTACGTACCAAATTAAATGATTTGCGATGAGATGCATAAGCTAGCTGTTACACCGTTTGTCACTCGTACACAATGCACATCTCGAAATTGCTGCACTTAGTATTTGGAAAGGCTATGAGAATATTGAGAATCATATATACATAACGTGTATACGTATACGTATATAGCAGACTCTTGCGCCAACCATCAGCTGATACCCAAAACGCAAGGAGCATGATGCGTTAAACCCATCATGCTCCTTGCGTTTTCAGCTCGGACATAGTCGATGAGTTTCGGCTACGGCTTTTCTTGGTTCGCAGCCGTGTACTCACATGTGTTGATAGCATGTAACACTCTACGGGCCTTAACACAAGCACTGGCTGGCATCCAGCGCATCAGCTTCGCGTTTTAGACGCATGGGGAGCTGCATGCGCTAACAGCCAGATACCCTCCATGCGATAAACCCGTAAATTCCCTCTCCGTGCAGCGAGTATTTCGTTGGCTTTGCACATGCTGTCTCGCTCGCACTCATGGCAAAAATTAAGTTACGCCCGTATTTTTGTACCCATGTGCGCGATGACAAATTTTTTCGCGTATAGCGTAAATAAAGTATGCAAGCTGTAAATACAGTCAGCAGCTAATGTCAACAACAACAATTACAGTATCAATTGTATAATTAATCGAATTTCTGACATGGATGAAAAATAAATCGTAAGAACTTTGGGCAAATTGCGGAAAGTCTATACGACCTACGCAACGACCCAATATCGCAAAGAAAAAGTGAAAAGTGTAATGATTAAGCTGTATGAAATGTATTAACGGCTCTCAAATAAAAAGAAAAAAAGAAGTATATACATGAAAACTTTTTTTTTGACATGTACGCAGGTTAGAATTCACTTGCGTTGAGAACTTCGAAAGCTTTTTTTGTTGACAAGACAGCAGCTTGGTCAACTCCCCTCTACTTCATACTTACGCGATACGCGAGGCTTTTACGCCTTTTCTATGTGACCACAAAGTGGCGTATACCTAACCTTCCTTACTTTTACGCGATACGCGATACGCATTACGCTTCACGCGGTTTCATGTGCCCGAGCCCCAACCCCCAAGTCCCTTAACTCGTAACGTAATATACTAATACCTACAACGTACATCAATGCGAATATATCGAACATGATTTTTTTTTTTTTTTTATATTATAGTGCTCTACGTGCGGCTCCTTTTTAATAAGGGCACTACTATGGGCACTTAGCACTTAAGAAAGGGACAAGGAAAGGGATGGGAGACCCCCATTACAGGGAGGGGGGTAGGGGGAATTAGGCAATTTTTGCTGCGAGCAGGTCGCCTAAACCCTCCTCGAGGAGCATTGCGTGGTGAAAAAGCACATGTGAACAATCACAGAGGTACTTGCCCGAAAAAGTCGCACTATGGCCGGGAATTGAACCACGGTCTCCCGCGTCTCAATCCACGACCTAGCCGACCGAGCCACCGCGCGCTCTTATCGATACATAAGTACGACAGGACGAGAGCAAAGTACCAACACTACCAATCACACATGGGCACCACACACAACAATAACCAAGTATTGCTTGCATGCAATAATATTTTTCAATTACGTGCCAAATTGTCAATGTGTTTATGCACAAATAAAATGGTATAGTACACAAATAGAATACACGTCCCTACACCATGTTATTATAATGTTGTTGATGAGTGTTGAAAATTGAGAATGCAATACCAAGTACTTGTTTGTCAATTAATAGTAGGTACGGCTGACTCTGATATGCGATATATCAATCTAACCGTAGAAGTATACTTACCCTCTTCGAGGGGAGGGAAATTGAACATTGAAGATACAAATTCTACACACACTGTCTTTTTTTGATACTGAGAGCTCGATTCATTTGACTTTAAACCTCAAACGACGTGACACGGTGTTTATTAAAAATCATATACATAAATGTTGTATGAATCAATCAATTAATTAATCAATGAAAAAAGTTTTTCACCCATCACTTGATATTGACACACGTTTTTTCTTCTTTTGAGAGCACCAGAAAGAGAGAGCTAGCGCGGCCGTTTGCTGCTGGCTGGATACTATACTTAGTAGTAAACTAGTAAGTAGGTATAAGTGTAGTAAGAAGATGGATTTTTATTGCGGCATTGGGTTATATTGTATTATGTTATATAAGTATTGTCAATTGGCAAGAATGAACGTATTATATATATATACTTCCCTGATGAGCTGCTGGCACCTGGTTGGTGGCTGCGCTGGGGGGGTTTTGTGAAACTTCTACCTACACCACGCCACGCCACAACTTGACGTCACGTTACAATGCACAAGTAAATAGTAACGTACCGTCAGTCTGTGGTGTGGCGTGGTGTAGAAAAGTAGAAATTACGCAATACCCCCCCTGACACCGCCGTGACACCTGACACTGCTGACTGTAAATATAGTGCTGAACTCTCTCTTTACTTTGCATGGTTATTGGTTACTGGTTACATTGATTACCGCGCGCCTTACGGCTCACAGTAATTGTTACATCAGGTTACATCACGTGCAGGTCACCATTGTTATTTATTCATTGTTTTGTTTTGGTATACTGACCCTTTTGTTCTTAAATGAGGGTTTTAGTGCGATTCTTGTAAGGATAACCAGGTATAAGTCACTTGAAGAGTTGATTTTTGAAAAACAGTCATCTACTTGATAGGAGATAATTTGAACTGCTTAACCATGGACTTTAGTAAACTGCAGGCATATCAACAAACTCTATTGAACCAAGTGTATTTGCAGGTGAGCATGTGATTCAAGAAATCTTTAATAATCAATCGTTTACTTTTCCATCTAGTTTGTTTGTATTAATAGTGTATTAATATATCATTAATAGTGCCAAATGTAAAATTACAGGAGACAGAGCAAAACGAGAATCGCCTAAAGTCCTGGATAGAACACAAAGAAAAACACTTACAGATAATTCAAGGAATAGAAAAACTAGTGCAGGAATTGTCTGTTAATTGTATGGTGCCAATTGGAAAGAGAGCTTTAATGAAAGGAAAGCTTATGCACACCAATGAAATACTTGTTTGCATTGGGGGTGGATATTTCGTCAAATACAGTGCCCAACAAGCAATAGCGTTATGCAATCGAAGAATCAAAAGTAAGTGAATTCTTTGCTCAGAAAGGAAAAAAAATTTATGAGTTATTCAGCAATGAAATATCGTATTTTTTTCAAACAGGTTCTGATGAAATGATCAGAAAGCTTGAAGAAGAAAGAAATTTACTTCAAGTCCGAAGAATGCTACCTCTGAACTGCGGTGCATTTGAATCTGAAGACTGTAAAGATATTGTTGAATTTTGGGATGAAAAAACCTTACAAGATTGGAAACGTAACTCCTATTATTAAATTGTATTTTATTGCATATTTTGCATAATTATTTAATTATATATTATTTTTTAAAGATAAACATAAAACGAGGGAAAAAATATATCGAGAAAAATTGAAAAACTCCAGCAGCAAAACTTTGGAAAACGAAATTACCCAGGATGAGCTATCCAAGCGACTCGATGAGTTGGAATTGCAAGAAGAACTGGCTAACAAATTAAATAGGTAAAATTTTAATTTGACAATAATTGGTGGATTTTATAGTTTCTTTTTAATTTAGTAACATTATTCAAGACGAATCACGACAACAAACTTTTGAAATTTTTTTTAATAATCGTGACTTTTTGTTATTTAATTTACCTCATCTACATACTCAGGCTGGAGAATAGTGAAAGTATTTTTCATCAACCATCAGAAGGGAATATAAAAAAACCTATAAATGAAAATTTAGATAAAAATGAGTGTGAAAACGATGATAACGACGACGACGACGACGACGACGACGACGATGATGATGATGATGGTGGTGATGATGGTGATGATGACGACGACGACAATGGCGATGACAACAGTGATGGCCATGGTGAAAGTAATAATTGTACCTATAGTAATCATCAAGTAAATAAAATAAGCGGAAAATTTGAAGTTTCTATCATTAAAGAAGAAGATAACGTGTGTAAAACAATCGCAGAAAAAGAAATACATTACAAGAGTTATGGGGATAAAAATGAAGAGGATAAAAAATTGAAAAAATCAGAAAGAAGGGTTTCTTTCGCTGATCCTCAGTTTGTAGAAATAGAATCAGTCGCTAACGGCGACGAACTCAAATGTGTCAAAACTAATGGAGACGACCTCATCAAGATTGAATTTAGGCATTCTCAGACCACCGCTTTAAATTTAAAAAATAATTATAAAAATGACATAAATAATCCAAGTGATGTTTATGACATTTTTTCCAAGCCTAAATCAATACTCAAGATTTCATCGAATGTAAATTATGTTAATTATGTTTATGAAAATACACCATTGATAGAAGAAGATACTTTGCAAGGAGAATGCAAAGATGAAAATAATCAACTTGAAAAGTCTACTTATATCACTGTAAGTGTAATTAAATGGAAAATTTACATTACAAGTGTTAAAATTTTTTGTCCAATGTTACAGGTAGTTAAAGACGTTAAAGAAAAAAATATCGACAGTCCTATGACGGAATCTTTGGGAAAAACTAAAAAAAATCGACCAATTAGCAGATTTAAACTAGAAAGAACACACGAAAAGACAAAATAATTTTGTTTTATAATTTTTAATTTTGTATGATAAATATTATGTAGATATTATTCATTACTCTAGAAGGCTCCACGATGGACTTAAATTCTGTTTGAATGTAAAATAAAATTATTTACTTGCTCTTTGTACCCCTCATAATGTCAATACATTGTATACAAATTGCTGTTTTATATTTACATAACTTTAGATTATGAAAAAATACAAGTAAATTGTTGCGCATAATTTTTTATTTGCATTATATTTAATTCCACCAATACCCCCTTGTCAGATGTTTTTTTATGTATCTCAATACCCATTTCTAGTACCCTGTCACTCTTTTCCCTCTTGGACTGTCCCTATAGCTAGAGTGAAAAGTTATCCCCTCGGAACCATATTTGCAACAGTTATATATTATTGATTCTGTATGCTGCAATTTCCTCAACAAAAGTCGATGTCGAATAAACTATCATGGCAAAATTTTGTGCACGAGATTATTTTTTCTATTTTTAATACTTCAATTACTCAGAATTTTATTTCCTCAAAGTTATTAACAGTATTTGTGACATGCAAACTTTGTTTTAGTAAGAATTGAGTAAAAACTCAACTAATTTTGCACAAAAATTAGATTCATCCTAAAACGTTGCAATATACACACACATTATGTATAGTGATGTTAGTGACATGCGATTTGCAAGCATTGCAATGGGGGGTATAACAACAATAAGCAACAAGTGAAATGAGGAATGAAAAGTCGACAAGCCAATTAAACTGACAATGACAACTTATAAATTAACTTTCGATTATTCCGTTAATAAGGACATTCTAATCACGATAATAAAAGAAAAAGTATACCCATTTAAGTAAATAATAAATAAGCTAATCGCTATAATTGCTTGTCTATATACCTACATATGGCCAGAAAAACAGCGATACGAGGTAAAAGTACTATGAGTGAAAGCGCTAAATGAGGGTTTGCATAATTCCGGCAAGCTTATAGTATATTTACATAAGTACAATACCCAGGTACCTTTTTCTTTTACTTTTGCAGTTTGAATAATGGTTCCCGTATTGCACATTTCGTGTAAAAACTCAACCTCTTGTAATAGTAATGTAATAATAATTATAAGGAAAGAGAGAGAGAGCAGGGGAGAATAGTGAAAAAACACGAGTTGGAGAAGGATATCTTGTGTGTGTGTACGTGTGTGAAATGATTAAGTATGGAAGTGGTGACATAATATTATTGTAGCAGTGCCAAATACGTACTGGGTAAATAGCAAACTATTAGCAAATGTGAAAATGTCTATGTAATAATGTGGTATATAATAAGTAATATGTGGAGAGTGTATTATAGTTTTATCCCCCGTCACTGACGGGCCGTCAGCGGGCAAAAGACATGCGCGTCGCTTTCTCTCGCGTTGCCGTGTACCGCGTACTTATTTCGTGTTCCCCCTTCTTCTCCAGGGGGTAGGTTCAGGTATATAACTTACAAGTAAGTAGATAGGGTTCGGTACAGGTTGGACGGACTGTAAGTATAGGGTATGTAGTGTACATACTTACCTACAAGCTTCATGCAAGGACCAACTAATTACTTACAGCCAGTTTATAGTTGTTGTATCGGACTATTCGGTTATCCGCACAGTACTTATTAACGTGTGTTTATAAACTATCGGACTGTCATGTGTGCATCATCGTAATTATTACACTCACGGGGGTATCAATATTTATATTTAAGGTGATTGTTACAACTATGGACAAAAGACAAAAGTGCGCGCATATAGGTAACATTACATATACATATATAAATCCGTAAATGTACACTGTACGCATCATCACCTACCGCATTAACAACGATAGAGAAGAGTAACCGTATACTTGTATACACATCGCAAATTCGCAACCCTTGCGAGAGCGAGCGCGCGAGTCGAAGCAAGTAAGCGCAGCAGGGCGGCCATGGGGGGGCCGCCTTCGCCTCTTTCTTTTTTTTTCATCTCCGTCGGCGAACGATTCCTCCGACGCCAGCCCAGCTGAGCGGATGAGCCGAGGCGGCTCCGCTGTTGCTTCTGGGCCGTTGCTGCTGCTGCTGGTGTTGTTACTATTGTTGCTCCTGGCATTGCAGCTCGAGCCGCTCGAGGCACCCGAGGCTGGACAAATTCTGCAGCAGCAGCACCACCACCACCACCACCATCATCATCATCAGCCACTACCGAGACCACAGCAGCAGCTTCAACAACAAAAAATTGTTCCAGTAACGACGCCACCTACGTCAAAGTTGCCACCGTCACCGCCACCTCCTAGGCATCAGCAGGGCCAACGGCCATCCTTTATCGAACGCAAGCTCCGTGTGCAGCAGCATCATGCGGAATCTGAATCCTCATCTAATAGCCCTCTGCAGATTCGACATGGGCGTTCCCGTGGTCGAGCTAGCAGCAGCAGCAGCAGCAGCAGCAGCAGTAACGAGGATTTGGTGGCCGTACTGGCTGCCGAGACGGACGAGCTACTGCTCTTGCTCGACCATCATCATGCAGAGGCCGAAGCTGCAGGTGTACAAGGAGCCGACGATGGCGAGGATCAGTCGTGGCAGGACGAGGCTGTAGCGGCTGTTGCGACAATAGATACACCTGGCAATTACATCAACAATAATAAGGACAACAACGGTACGTGGACGACGATGACAAAGAACGACCGGGAGGAAAAAACGAGAGGAATGGTGTTGGCCCCGGGACAGGTTGACATAGTCACGCGCTTTTTGCGGATAATTGAAAACCAGCACCTCCTCGGCGAAAATTGCACCGCCGGCACGGACCTGAACCTTGGCGAGGGGGTACGTCTTTTCTACATTTTATTTTTACATATATCATATACTTATACGCAAATGGTGTGTACTTGTTGGGCGCTCTTATTCCCACTTTAGGCGGGTTACCCCGGTAATATGTAGTTTTTTTTTTTTTTTTTTTTTTTTTTTTTTTTTTTTTAAACAAATCATATGTTGTAACAAGTATCTCCCACGAGGCGTAAGCGATCGTACACAAGAGAAAATAATTATATAGTTAATAGAGCGCGCGCTGGCTCAGTCGGCTAGGTCGTGGATTGGCACGCGGGAGACCGTGGTTCAATTCCCGGCCATAGTGCGACTTTTTCGGGCAAGTACCTCTGTGATTGTTCGCATGTGCTTTTTCACCACGCAATGCTCCTCGAGGATGGTCTAGGCACAACCTTCCCGCAGCATAATTGCCTAATTTCCCCCTACCCCCCTCCCAGTAATGGGAGGCCTCCCATCCTTCTTCCCTTCCTTCTATAAAGTGCTTAAGTACCCTCAGTAGTGCCCTTTATAGGAGCCGGACGTAAAGCACTATAATATAAAAAAAAAAAAAAAAAATTATATAGTTACTTTGATGCATGTTGAACTGCATGTACCTATTGCAAAGAAAATTAATTTGCGGATCTTCTTCATGTTTTACTTACGCTTTTTCATATTATATACTTATTTCCTACTGCATTCCTTTTTTACGTTGACTGAACTCGTGCTGCTTAGGGCAATGGGTAATCATATCATCATCAAGACTTTGGTACATTCGGGCCATGGACAGTTGAATATTTCAATAATATCGTTTCACCATCTCGTCATTACATTGTGAGAAATATGATTTGCATTTCCCAAAAATAACAAAATCTTTTTTATTAAGAATTGTTTGAAAATGGATCGAATGGCATATCTTTTTTTAATTGTACAGATATTCAATAGTTGAGACAAAAGTTACTATATCCTCATTTGTGACTGCAATTATACGTTGGGTGTAATGCGCCCCAATTTAATTTTTAATAGCGCAATGATAAAAATGATAAGATTTAGATATTGATGATGATTAAATATGTTGTACGTTTGATCTGAAAATTGCAAATCGATCGGTTAAAACTATGTATAGTAAGATAAATTTACGACAAGCAGTACAGGCAATAAATTTGTATTTTTTTTTGTCAATCAGGTTGTCGATCAGTACGCTCAGGAGCGCTTTCGGCTCGAGGCCAAGCTCGCCGTTAATCGGGCCAACATGCTTACCCGGCTTTGGAAGTACGCGCCCGAGGTGATGCAGGCCTCGGAGTACCTCCTTCACGCGAGTGTTCTCTCGATGGTCGAGTTTGACGAGGATATATTTGCGGCGGGCAATTGCTACGACAAGCTGCAGTACCGCGAGCGTTGGCTTTACTGTCCGTTCGCGCACCGTCTCCAGAACGAGGAGGGCGTCCTTGTCAAGGACCTTGCCGTCGAGTACAAGTACCTGAGCAATAGCAGCGAGTGGTTTTACATCGCCCGAAAGAATGCCGAGCGCAGGATCGCTAGCTACGATCAATTTAGCCGAGGTTTTCCTACTTGTATACCACTATTACCTAGATTAGTACCATTATTCTTACATTTCAATATCATCACGTACCAATCACCAATTAGGCATACTGCATTATTATTATCGACATCTATACATATAATTATTATTGCACTCCCCTTTTCCCTATTCTCCATGTACAATATTGTATATAGGTGTGTTGCTAATGTCGTGTACATTATCATTATTTATTATTATTATTATTATTATTATTATTATTATTATTATTATTATTATTATCAAGTACCTTCTTTTTTATATGCTTTTATTTAGGACTTAAGTACATACCTATATTATAAGTAAGTAGAAAATATAATAAAGACTAACATACGTACGTTGGCTGTATGTATGGCTATAATGTATAATATCCAATACGTAAATACTTGTTGCATGTCATTGTAAAAAGTCTTATATTTTCTTTTTCGACTTTTTCTTACAAATATTATTTAGGCAACACTTTTGCAAATAATAATAAAATTAATCAACTAAGGGGTAACGTGCGTGCGTCGACTTTTTTACCGGCCCAAACGCATACCTATACTTACCACTGATACGATTCACGAGGTGTAGCGTCGATGCCTTTTACTTTTTTATACGCTAAAGTACTTTTATTATTATTATCATTATTTGTATTACTTATATTTGAGTATATCTACACCCCAACAAATGTATATATGCGTACGTCTATGCGTTAACTATAATTTGTTATTAGCTATTAGCGACGAACGCCTTTTTTCAGTTATATATACATACAATAACCCTATGTTATCGGATACCTTTGTTTGATACGCGTCCTCGTTGTCCCGACAATTTATAATAGCAGTCTGCTCTCAATGCCCATACAAATTGCCTACTTTCAGTTCTATCAATAGGTCTATTATGGCTCTGCTCGCATCACTCATTGTTCCTTTACGTTCAACCGTCTCTCTCCCTCTCTCGTAATCTATTTAAATATTGTAAACGTGTCATTACCGATGCATTTTGCTTCTATTTTTAAATATAAAAAAGTCCATGCACACCATTCGCGCATGTAAAAGAATAAAAATAAATAGCGTTTATCCATTAGCTGAAACAAAAGTCTCATTGTTACTTTTGTGATTTCAAGATTAATATTTCGTCTAACTTTTTCAATAATAGAAGTTAAAAAAAATTTAGAAAACTAGACGAAAACAAAATTACATGCCTTTCCGTCTCGCGTTAATAAGTATATAATTATTTTCGATTCGATTTTTATTCGCAATTCATAAGTATTGGGTGCATCGGACGCAACGCTCTATGAATGGTGTTTTATTTTAATTTGCCACCGTTGACAATAACTTGTTAGGAGAGCCTTAAATCAGAAAATGACCTTAACCAAAGTTGTCGGGTTTGAAGGAGGACATTTGAAGTTGACCTTTATTGTGACCTCGACTTTGGGATCTTCAAGGCCACTTTAAGGCCAAATAATTTTTTTTTTCCTCTTATTTTAATTTGCGTTATTTTTGACCATGGATTCTGGAAAAGCAGAAAATCGTATATTACTGTATATTTTCATAATATAGTGAGTCTGGATTGTTGCTTACACATTGAACGGTTCAACTATAATATACCCTTCAATCTCGCGCAGCTGGCCTAATAGCGAATACTTTGCAAGGTCATAAAGCCGAGGGTGCTCTCTCTCTCTCTCTCTCTCTCTCTTTTGTATAGCGAAGCCACGACCCCATGTCACATCCCAACACGTACTTTATGCGTTATTTGAACAACGTGCTAGTATTCTGTTTTACTAATCACTTGATCGAATAAATATATTATTCAGGATATCATACCTATACTCACAACGAGAGCAGCCACACAAAACGAGTCCAAGATGAGATATTGACGGTGCGATACGAGGATGGTCGCTGGTCGACGCCCTACTACGATTGTGGAGGTGGAAACATTTGGATGTTGACCTATACAGTACCATTTTTTGGTTACGTCAACGATACGTACTTTTTCAAGTAAAACATTTATTTTTCTTGGGCAACTAATATTATACTTGATAATACATATTCCACATGCTTACCTGTAGTAATCATAAGTTTCCGAGATCAACTTATCCACATTTTTTTTTTTTTTTCTTTTCTCTTTTATCCCCAGAGGTACAAGCGGTATCGATATAGACCTACGTAGAGTAGATATTGATCAGTGCCCACTGCCTCCAGGATCCATCCAGTTAAATATATTTGCAGCGAGCGATAAGTGCAAGAAACGAACGACGGAGGTGAAAAAAATCGTTTCACGAATATTCGTTGCCATTATCACTATTTATATTAATTTACATTGAATGCTGTACCAATTTTACTAATTTTACTGTTTTAATAAGTAACGACATTATTGATCTAGGATGTAGTAAACTCTATTATTTTCAGTGTGTCGCGATTCCTGGCTTAGGATTTCGTAGAGGTAGCTATCGATGTATTTGTAAACGAGGTTTCTACTATCCGGATACAAAGTCACCTAATCGCTTTTATAACGGCACTGTAGTCGAAGAGGAATACGAAAAACTAATGCTCGTAAGTGTCATTGGCACAAAAAAAATTAATTTATAGGTATTATCTATCCTTCAACATTCAATTGCTCTAAGGGTGTTTTAATTAAGAGGAAAAAAAAAAAAAAAAAAAAAAAAAAAAAAAAAAAATCATCTCATAATACAATTTAGGAAAAGCTGCGCATTGAAAAATATACCACCTTGAAAATTATTTTACAAACCATGCAAAGTTTTTTTTTGTTTTACTCAAGTTCTATTTAATATAATTCGGAATAAGATAGTTTTCTGAATCAAAAAGTATACACGAAAAAAATGATTTACACTAAACGCAAGAACGTGTTCAAGTCAAGTATGATCTTATCTATATCGAATCATGTAACAAGTTTTCAAAGAATATTTTTTTTATATGCACGAATTCGTAGTCACCTACCCAACATACATACGTACATCGCAATAATGGCATAATGTACACAACAAGATCTTAAAAGATAAAATCATCCTGGTACATACAGCATGGAAAACTTGAATAATTTTATACATTTTAGGGTAAAGTGAGTCGGTACGACAAGGCTGGTGTTTTTGAATGCTTTCCTTGTCCCGAAGGTTGTGATTCCTGTCAAGACTCTTCCCCTTGCGTCGTATCTCTCAATTGGCTCATGAGAACCATTATCCTTATTTTGGAATGTTGCGTCATAGCTTGTCTACCTGCTGTTGCATTATTTACCTGGAAATACGGAAACGTTAAGGTAAACAATCAAACATAACGATTATCGGTTCATACACAGCAAAAGGCATTTTTGTGTTTTCATGCATCAAATACCCTATTTGACCCAATTGTGCCATCTTGTTGTTTGCACAAACACATCTCAGATTGCATATACTGTACACGATTATTATTTAAACTCAGTTGGAGCGCAAGTACTCATCAACATGCGATACAAGGCTTTTTTTATACCTACTCTACTCAAATCTATGCATTCAGTACGCTTTACAAACATGTTATATCGACGTAAATATGTGAATGTAGAGAAAGACAATAAATTATTCATAAATTATTACTTATCACTGCGTATAGGTAGTCCGAGCTGCAAGTCCAGTTTTATTGCGTGTCATTGTTCTTGGAGCTTTTTTCATCTATTGTACTGTAAGTGAATTTCATGTTCATCAGGCACGTGCGGGACGAAATCACTTGATTGGAAAAAAAATCATACGCTTAAAGGATAGAACAAAACTCAATTCCAACCGAGATAAAAAAAAAATACAAATCTTTCATTTTCAAATACCGAGAAAACTTTTGTTATTTAAACTAGTACGTTTTTGCGGATACATTTATGAGAAATTTTATTACGCCTTGTATAAATTACTAAGTACATCATATAATAATTTTTTTTATTAACGTGAAAAAAATTTCTCATAATCCGTGCATACATTCGTTTTCCTACAACTTTTGCTTTTCTGATATTGATTTGAATCCATCAGATGTATTATTTCCAACAAGTGCGCTGGTATTTTGTTTGGTCAAAAATGGAACAAGTACTTGAAATTCTTTGAAATCATTTTTGTCTCACACATGCCTTCAAATTATTGATGTTTTACGTGTATATAAAATAATGGATTTAGTGGTTCTGCTGCATTACTCTATATACCATTACAGACGATAGTTATGTACCCTCAGCCAAATATAGTGACGTGTACAGTACGAGTTTGGCTCAGAGAAATTGGCTTCTCATTGACTTATGGCGCATTGATGCTGAAAACGTGGAGGTACATATATATATGTGTACATAAGTTATTGTACCCCAGTACTTTTGTTGTTATCTATGGTGTCATTGATATTTTCATCGACTAATTTTAAGCATGACGGCTCTTCCATGTTAATGTTATAAATTTTCAAAACTATCGATGATTACAACTGTACTATCAACTATATAATATCTTGTATTGCATGTGTATTAGTAAATTTTGTTTTGGTGAGAAAGTGTATAAGCAGTCGCGTCTTACATGAAAAAACTGATACCTACATGAGTTTTTCTTTATTATTATAGAATATCTGTGATTTTTCGCGTTCGATCTGCCAAAGCTGTCAAGATAACAGACATGAATTTACTCAAACGTCTAGGCATTATCGTTACCATATTTAGCGCATTGTTGGGAATCCGTACTTTAGTTGCGCCACCAGTCGTCATTGTAGCTCGTACGGCGGACGACTTGAAGGCTTATTTGTGTCAAACTGACTGGTGGGATCACAGTTTTACCACGCGTAAGTATATCCATACATTATCAATCAATATTCAAATATTGCTCGACCATGAGTAATAATTTTTAACTGCCAATCACTTTGCCACTGCTTTAAATTACAGTGGAAGTGATGTTTCTTGTTTGGGGCATTAGATTGTGCATCGTTGTGAGGAAAGCACCATCGGAATTCAATGAAAGTCGTTTTATATCAATGGCAATATACAATGAATTTCTCCTTTCGGTTTTTTTGAATGTATCCATGTAAGAGACGTAATTTTGACCTCATACATGTATTTTTATTTATTTTTTTTTTTTGATGAAAAATAATCTCATTTAATAACATTGGCGTCTCACAGGTTTTTCTTGCAATCATCTGCCAACCCAGATCTACTGTACATCATATTTTTCTGTCACACTCAACTTACCGTCACGCTATTACTCGGATTTATTTTTGGAAGCAAGGTCAGACTCGGTGACTCATTGTGTAATAAAAAAAAAAAAAAAAAAAAAAAAAATCACCAACATTGTTACGTTGGCTGCCAACGTAATTTTTCTTTTTCAATTTTAAGGCATACGTTGTATTCAAAGGAGGCGGTAAAGATGATCTAAATGGCAAACTTACCGGCACTACCAGCAAGTTTTTAGGAAAGACTTGTCGAGCACCTGCTACGAGCAATCAAACAAATTCAATCTCCTTGCACCAGGCCAACTTGACCGAAGACAGCGATGGAATGACGGTAATAACTGAGCGAATGTCTATGCGATATTTGAATATTACCCTTCAAGTGATGAATTTTTTTTTTTTTTTTTTTTTTTCCTTCAAATAGGAAGAATTTCGAAGATTATGTACGCAATTAGAGCTACTTAAAGAGAAAAACATGCGTTTAGGTAATCGACACATGATTGAAAAAATCATCGCCATGCAAGAGGCAGCTAATCACGTAGAAACTCAAACTTTTGCGGTTCACTCTATTCCTTGGTCTTTGCAGCAAAATCAAGCGGTAACCGATCCGTCCACACTAAACAGGTACAATTATTTGGCAAAAGACTTATACTTTTACAGCAATTTATGTTTATAAATTTTTATTTGCGTGCTGGTCATTTTAAAGGATAAAGGCAGAGGCATCAAAATGTTCCAATTTTTCGTGCAATGAGCAACGAACCAACACGACCGAGGAATGTTTGGCAGGGAAAATCGCAATAGAGGAAATCCAAATAGAGGTCGTCATGGAGAAAGATAAAAAAACCTTAGTTAAAGAAAAAAAGACCGATGTTAAAGGGGAGGAAAAAGAGGCAGATGCAATATTGGGTAACGAAAAAAACAAAAAATCGCTCGACTTGAAAGAAGAGCTGGATGATCAAATTACTAAAGACAAGAGCAAAAGTAAATCCGGCCACGCAAGAACTCATGCCATTGTCATAAATTTAGACGATAAGACCAGATTTTCCGAAGAGGTGACTGTCTAAATGATTTTCAGGCGATTGTTAAACAATAATAATACAACGTTTTTTTAAATGCGTATCGTGCAAATAATTCAACCATAAAACACCAATATATGATAAATATTCCTTTGTATTTTCCATGTCAAAAGTTTTAAATTTTATCTTAATCTATATAAACCGTGAACGCAGATTTCAGATTTTACAGTTTTAAAAATAATAATATTTCTCCATGTACGCTGGTCAAGAAAGACTTTGCACTTTATTAAAAGTTGAGCCACAGTGAACAGACTCACAGGTGTATTATAAATAACAATTTCATGTAACTTTCCTCAAAATTTTAGGATAGGTTTTGAAAAAAACCGTTAAAAAAAATCGTTAGTGCTTAAGGTTTTAACATCACTTTGATGGAGAGCTGTCAAGCTCCGTGCCCTCATTTGCATTAAGTTCAAACATAAAGAATTTATATATATATACATACACGTGATTTGAAACAAACTTGCACATTTTAATCATGTTTCCCAATTTTTCTATTAATTAGTAGTATATGAAAATTTTTATTTTTTATGTTGCAAAATACCTAAGTAAGAAACTGGGCCAACTTAGCCAAGTATTTCCCTAATTTTTTATAAATTGAGTCATTCACTATTTTTCGAGTACTAGACAGTTGAACATTTTTGTTGGTCTTTTGCCATATATATATGTGTAGAGGTGCAAAGCCTTTTTTTAATAGGTATTTATAAGTGAACAGGTATCGAGTCCTTACTTGACTATCTCTTTCTTACCATGGTATTTGATAATGTAAAAACAAATGTAATAAAGGTTTATTGCATCGACCAAACAATTATCCATGTCAAATATTTCCAATTTTATGACTTGTAAGAAAATTTTGTTCTGAATCCAGTACCTAACCACCAGTGAAAGGCAGTTTTTCGAAAAACTTATTAAGAGAATGCTGAATGACAAGAATTAATTTTTGACTAATTTTTTAATTCAGTATATAACACAAGCTTATAAAATAATTAAATATTTTTTACTTCAAAAGTTTTTAATGCTTTGTATTACACGTTTAAAATTAAGCTAAAGTGGTCCTAAAAATTGGGAAACACAACAATTCGTAAACATTGATTTTCATGTATATTTAGAAACTCGTTAAAAATTATTGATCAACATTATTTCAATTGTTGTCGGATTCACGTATGACTTAGAATATCTGCAACAATTTAAGTGCAAATGATTGAAATGTTTTTAATGAAGTATTCTGTAAGTAGAAAAATACATATTCTGTATATAAATTGTAAATAAAGCATAAATACATGTGGATTGATATTGTTTCGTGTAACAAGTATTAAATACGTTAAAGTATTAATCGTGATAAATGTGCATATCGCAAAAAAAACTGACCAATTGTAGGACAAACGTTAATAGAATTACTGGTGGTAGCGCAGTGGTAGTAATAATAATAATAATAATAATAATAATAATAACGCAAATTTCGTCAGGTATAAATAAATCATGCCTTACAAATTAAGTTTAAGCAATAATGATAATCATGACGTTTAATTTAACTATTGGTATCCAATAAACAAAATAGTCTATCGCATCCTTTGTTTCTAACATGAACCAATTTCATAAAACATAAGTAAAATAAACTACAAATCTTTCCTACGTAACAGTTTTCATTAACTTTTCTGTGTTCTGCATTGACAATTTAATAACAGCATATGAATAATAGATGCAAATATATGAAAACATACGTTTTTAAAATATATTATTAAAATGTAGAAATTTTCTTTCTCCCAATTGAGTTTAATCTACTAGTATAGGTACGTGTACATTAATCATATAGTTTGGGGATTTCTCGTTGAAAGAGGTTGCGTTTATTGTCATTAATATGCCTTGTACCTCATTAATACGTAAACAATGAACGAATTATTTGAGAATTAGTTAATAAGTTGGTCACGATAAAACATTGATACCAAGTCCTTATTGCGCAATACAGACTTCTACTATGATACAATACCTTGTACAAGTTTAACGCACTTTGCCATTATTCAAAGCAAAAGGAAATAATAAACGGTAAATGAACAAAATAAAAAGAAAAGTTTTAGTATCATCAGGTAATTGCGGGCGGTCAAGTATATATTCAATCAATGTCCCATATGACTAGACGGTGGATTATGGTTGATATCCTCATGTAATACAATAACTAATGCTCTTTACGATCGCTGTGATGGATAAACCTCGATTACGACTTTTTTTTTAAACTTTGGCGTTTTGCCGTCGTAAATCGTTTGGTATAATATAAGTAATGAAGGATCCAACAAAAAGGGTCGCGCAAAGTACAGTGTTTGCCCAATAGTCTCCCCAAATCTGAAAAAGATGTCTGTAGAGCAGGATTAATAAGATTCCGAAAATTTGCACCACTGCATTCAGCAAACCAGCTGATGTACTTTCCGGCTCGGGATACGTTAGTTCAGCCGCAAATTCGAAACCAACAGGCAAGTAACCAGTCATGAAAAATCTGCGGATCCAAAATAACACACGCATACGTATACGAGGCATCGAGTTATTATCATTGCATTAATTCTTTTCGTTTTTAGCTTTATATATTTACCCTAATAATCCTGCTGTCACATAGACAATGATGATTTCGTCCAAACCAATAGTAAACGTGAAAATGATCATGCCCAGAAAGGAGAAAATATAGATGGCAAGGGTTGTTTCTCTGGAGGTATGACACATAAATTAATTACCAGTATACGCATTTACATACTTATTTGGGCTGGTATTTTTCTGTATGTACTTACTTAAACTTGTGGGTTTTGTCTAAAACGACGCCGCAAACGACTGAACCCAACATCCCAGCGCACACAATGGTCAGTCCTATTCTACCGGCATCATCGTGGTGACCCTTTCCGGAATATTATTATTGTATTGTGAAATGAGCAGATTGTGATAAAAATATGTTGTTTTGTTTTTTCTTACTGGAAAATGCACCAAAACGATCGGATTAAGGAGAGTTCCAATAGCATAAAATATCCCTACGTTGATGGCGTAACTCAGCAAAAGTAATAAATAGCCTGTGTTTGTCACGAGTCTTTTTACCGATAGCAAAAAGTCTTCCGGCCTTTCCGACTCTTCCCGAACAGCCTGAGCTGGACTTGGTGGCAAGGAAGGTTGATTTTTAAAAACTGTAATCATCAAATAAATACAAAAATTTTTGAATCACGGCAAGTCTTATGAATAGTATACGTATTCTATATGGTGCTTTTTGTTTAAACCTTTTGTGGACGAATGACATTTACTTACACAATAAAGTGAGGACGAAAATAACCAATGTAAAGACCGCCACGATATAAAACATCAGTTTTAAGCCTTGGCCAATAACATTTAAATCCTCGGAGTCGCGCACGAGCATTGGTGGAAAAAGGAAACCTATGGCTATGCCAAGCTGAAAGAGTATTAATTAAGCATTTGTTTATAAGCCGTACTCCATATTGGTTAAGACTAAATTTCACTTGGATTTGTTTCTTTAACCAATCAATATACCTACTGCGTGCAAAACTAAATTTTAACATAAAAATACTAACAAATCATCATACTCTCGAAACTTTTTTTTCATCAGGATTAATGAAAAACAGAATACGCACCACGCTCGGAGGTTAAGAAATGCATTAGATTTCACGTGAATAAACGCCCGAGGCGAAGCCGACATTCTTAACCTCGATCACTAGGTGCGTGATATACTATTTCCAAGTAGTTTATTTAGTTAAAGTGAATCTAAATTAAATTAAAATTTAAAATTGGTTGTGTTAAAAGAGAAACAACAACGTACAAGTTTTTTAATCTTACTTAATTTTTCCGATGCAAAAAAATAAGATTCCATTATTGGATATACCTCGATGATTGTAATTTTTGTGCTACACCGTGAGTTATTAACTTTTCGCGTTTGAAACCTTTCAACTTGTACGATGGTATGAGAGAAATTTTGATAACTATAATAATTATTGATACTTCATACAAATGTCTGCGATACAAATTGATACTAAAGTCTTCACTCTAGCTTGAAAGCTACAGTTGGAATTTTTTCTGTTTTTGTTGGAGTACTTACATATATCTGTTGTATGTATGTTAATAACAGAAACTTATTCTTCCATAAAATATCCCACGTTTCTCCCAAAACATTGGCTAATTGAAAAAATTGATAATCTCATAGTAACTTTTTACGTATTATTATTATTATTATTTTTTTTTTTTATCAAGTTTTGTTTGTAAATATTGTATTTTTATTTTGAGCCTCATTAAAAGTACCGGACAATTCACGGTACACATATTATATGCTCAAAATATGGCGCGAATGTAAAATGAGCAGTACACTTTTGGAATAATGAACGGATACGCGGACACGAGTCAAGCGAATCAGTTACGTTTTCACGAGCGATTTAACGTGATATTAATAGAGACAAATATACGTACATGATACCTATATATTATGTCGGAGCCCCAGTACTATCCATCATGATCGTTAACCGGATAAGCGTACATCTCATCAGCTAATACGCATTTTAATGCAGGATACTCATTTGTCCTAACAATCAGATATTTCATTCAAGCTAACTACTAACTACATGACGTGCTTCACTTGTTTATTTTGCACTTATAATAGGATAAATTGTGTACATAATTAGCTACATCCTTTGTATGGTCTATTATATTATGTAGGACGTATACAATACGATTAGGCGCATGATCATAAATATAGTGCCAACAACAGTCGTCAGTTTGACAAAAATATAGTTTAAAGAGCGACCGATGGAGCGTATGAAATATATTGTGTCCAAGACATTTTTCTCATGTGATGATTGATAATGTAGATAATGTTTTGACAGTGATCATACAAGAATATTGTATATAGGAGACTTTAAAAATACGGTGGTAGCCGATTGTTTGAAAACAATATTTTCAACACTAGTTGAGTATGCTTTTTATAAACTTTTAATTCTTTGGGGAGCAAGTTTTGGTACATGAAAGTCAAGATTGAAAAAAAAAAAAAAAAAAAAAAAAAAAAAAAAAAAAAAAAAAAAAAAAA